CTGTGCTAACCTGAGAGAGAGATTGCACAGATAAGTGAAATTCACAAGTACTCTAAAACTTTTTGAGTCCTACATTATCATCTTCTTCCCAAAGACATCAAGAAGAATTTCATTTTTAAAAGCACATGCTGCCCCAATTATCCAGGTTTATGACATGAATGCTCAGAAGGAAGGTTGGGCAATCTACTTCCGTAGTGATACCGCCTCAGAAACCCAAGGAGGGGTTGCTATGAGTTGAATCTGACTCGACGGCACATAACACCACAACATCGTGACAGGAATGCAGCATCCACTGGACATGTGGGTTATTTTAAAGTTCAGGATCATAATTTTACACAGTCTTTCATCTAATTCAGTTTGTAACAGGAGCAAACATCAACCAAACCCTGGAGCAGAGTAAGGATTATAGTTGTGATTACAGAGCCGTTTTCTTCTATGTAAACCTGTCATATGCAGAACTCAAACTGGTACTCATCTTTTCATGAGCTGACTAACTATGACTTCTGAATCATACTCTCACTCCTCTTGGTTAACCACAAGGGAAGGTAATAATAAACAACAAGAAATCCAAAAGTATTGGTTTTATGTGCCATGGTGTGGGTAAGGAGGCAAGAAGCATGGCTGGCCCACAGAAAGGATAATCAATGATGACACCTCCTTTTCATACAAGGCTGAAGGTGGTGCTGCCAACTGTCAGTCATCCCTCTACTCTGAACTACTATGGCTGAGCGTTGGTTCCATTTCCTCTGTGATGAATTGAGTTGGCTTCTGTTTAGCCTCAGCAGTGAGGAGTGTAGAGATGCTTCCCTCAGGTTCTGAACTCTACTTGTTTCTACCAGGCTGTACAGCCCACCTATAAGTAGGTGTAATGATTTTCTTTTCCAGGGTAAAGTCATAGTTGGAAGGAATCTTAATTTTATGGAAGATACATTGTCGAGTCAGATCCAACTCAAAGTGACCCCTCCAAGGGTTTCCAAGGTGGTATCACTATGGAAGTAGATTGCCCAATCTTCCTTCTGAGGAGCGGCTGGGCTGGTGTGTTTGAACTGCCAGCCTTCTGGTTAGCAGTCAAATGCCTTAGGCCTATGCCACCAGAGTTCCTAGAAGAAATATGGAAAGATTAAGTATAGACAAGTTGCTCACACAAAGACAAGCTGTACAAGCTACAGAAAAAACAACATAACTTTTAGTCACCAAAAAACGTTGGATCACACTGGCTATCTTCAAGGCCCTCCCACTCACATTTCCTTCTTACATTGACTTCCCCTTCTCCTGGTTAGAGCAACAGGAAGCCACCACGCCTCATTTTCACACATGCTGTTCTTTAAGTCCCTGGGAACTTTCTTTGGCTTAGTCCAGGACACATGGAGATTTAGTTCTCCCTGTGAACCTGCTTAGACAATAAACCAAATTCTTTTGAAAACACAAAATTAAGAATTTGATTTGTCCCTAGCCAAACCCAGCAGCTTAGTAAAAGCTCCCCATTTCCTAAAGTTTTTCTCTGTGGACTATCAGTTCCAGCATACAGATTCCCAAACAGCCACAGATCAAAAAGTGGCAGGGGGATTGAGGGGAAAGGAAGGAGAGCAAGTGTGAGTGAGAATGGTTAGAAGAGATCAGCCCAGAAATTTAGTCTGATGTTTCCTGGAGTTGTTGCTACTGGAGGAGCTCTGGTGGCGTACTGCCTGAAGGAAGATGGGGCAATCTACTTTCCGTAGTGATACTGCCTCAGGAAACCCAAGGAGGGGTTGCTGTGAGTTGAATCGACTTGATGGCAGTGAGGTTGGGTCAAAGGGGAGAGGGCAGTGTTTTAGAGGGGAAAAAAGGAAGGTGAAAATGGCAGGAGAGAAAAAATGCACTCCTCCATAGAGATATAAGCAGAAAGCTACAAATTCTTGTGACTCTGCTTGTTTTGTTAAGTACAATGTTTTTGAATAAACCAAAAGAGAATCTTGTGTGTTAATACGTATGTGCATAATGTTTATAAAAAAGGGTATGTGGAAGTCATTATGGAGTATTGTATCAATAAACCTTAGATATAAAATATATTTTTAAAATTATTGTGTAGGGCAGTGGACACTTAAGAACTTCCAAACCTTTCATATCTTTGTTTCAAAACAATAAGGAGTTCCAGGCTGGCAGCTTATTTCCTGAGTATATTCCACTGTAAATCCAAGAGGTTTGGGGGTTTTTGTTCGTCTGTTTTCTGGCTTTGTAATTTATAATGATCTGTATGGATAACTTTGAAATATCTGTTGCCTGTGTGTTGGTGTTGTTTACCCACACAAAGTCATCAGAATCTGTTCCACACTTTGCATCCTGAAAAAACAAAAGAAATTTTCTAATGAGAAGGAAAACACAGAGAACGTGCCTTCACTGTTGGGTAACTCTCAGACACGTACCACTGACAGCTTTTGGTAAGGCTGAGCAAATGGGATGTTTAATATCAGAGTTGTTGTCTCTCACTCAAATGTTTGGTGTTGGATAAGCCTTCTCTCAGGAGGGGAGCACATACTTTTGTCAGGTAGTTTTTCTTTGGACTTGATAGTCTTCTAGAGGAAACCAGAAGTCATGGCCCAGAGCCACTCTCCACCATCGGTTTTCAAAGAACTGCCCATATTATTAATTTTCCGCTTTATATCCTGTGTTTCTGTGGTAGATTGAGCACTTTCAGAATGCACTGTTACTTGTTTGGGTTTGTAGCTCTGATAAGTGCTAAGTTTGCTCTTTACTGCACAGACTGATTCGAAGTAAAGAGGGGAAAAGGGGGCTGCCTTGCAGGAGGGTTCCCTTGCACCTTTTACATCAGCCAAGAGAAGCAGCACAGAAACCAGTGCACAAACTAACATCTGTTCTTCATGCCAGGAGGAGTCAACGATGCAAGAGTGGAGAGATTACCCAAGTCTCCTTTGCCAAAAATACATATTGCTCCCAGATGTAAGCTTGTAAAGCCCCATACATGTTTTAGCATGAAACAATAAAACTGGTTTATTTTCATTTAATAGAGTGGTCCCACAGGCCTGGTTTTTTCAGTAGCTGACTTGGAAAAGAGAGCACTTTATCACAGACTAAATGTCAATATGGAGTATTTAATTTTCCCCAAAGGACTAGCTCCTTCCAGCTGTAATGGACATCCAGTTGGGAGAGCTGGGAGGATAGGTCACTTTGTCAGACTTGGGAATTACTTAATTTCAGTAGAGGTAGGAGGCAGCAGGGGTTAAGTGACACTTCCTCTCAAGCCTGACCAGCATGAGTTCACCTCCATAAAGCAAATTCCTGTTTGTACAACCACTTAAGCACAAGAAGGTCTCCTAGCCAGAAGCTTTCTCTGCTTGCTTAGTGCAGAGGTTAGAAGCATAGCCTCAAGACCCTCACTGCCTGTCACTTACCAGTGTGTAGCATTGGGTAAGTTATTCAACCTTTCTGTGGCTTGGGTTCCTTTTCTGGGAAAATGGGGATATAATAGCACTTTCTGAGGGATGTGAGGGATGAAATGTCTTAAAACACATAGAGTGCTTTGAACAATGCCTGACACATACAACGTGCTCAATAAAATTAGTATTACCACCTTCACAATTTTGGCCTTACCTACCTACCACCTCTATTATTTATCTAACATTTGAAATTACCTTAAAAAAATTCATATCACAACTGTAAATAGAAAACTGGTATAATATGCTATGAATATAACATAACTGTAAAATAGCAATAATACCTCATATTTATTGAGTCATTACTTCTTGCCTGGTTCCTAGGTGTCACGAACAGTTACCGGAGTTCACCCAGAGGTACCACTAAAAAAGGCCTGGTGATCTCCTTCCAAAAAGTTAGCCATTGAAAACCCTGTGGAGCACAGTTCTCCTCTGACACACATTGGGTCACAAATCAGAGTCAACTCAGTGGCAATTGATTTCAGTTTGTATGTGTGTTTTTGTTTCATTTTATTTACTACTGGCCAGGCACTAGGAGCCTTGGTGGTGCAATGGTTAAAGTGCTCAGCTGCTAACCAAAAGGTCAGCACTTCGAATACTCCATGGGAGAAGGATATAGCCGTTTGCTTCCATAAAGATTTACAGCCTTGGAAACCCTATGGGGCAGTTCTACTTTGTCTCATAGGGGTTCTATGAATCAGAATCAATTCAAAGGCAGTGGGTTGGGTTGGGTTTGGGCGTTAAATGCCTTCAATCATTAGAATCCTCACAACTCTATGAGGTCATTATTATTATTATTATTATTATTATTATCCTCACCCTCATTTTATAGATAAGGAAACTGAGGCACAGAAAAGTGAGCTAATTTTCCTATAGTTACAAATTCAGTAAGTGGAAAGGACAGAGTTGGTAAATAAGAGAGATAGTTCAGGCTACAGAACTCAATCTTTCTTTCATCCCTCGCTTTGTTGTGTACCCACCTTAACAAAAACAAGAGCAATCAGTTAACATGGTAGATGCAGTTGCCTATCTAAGACTCTGAACCTGGGTCCTGAACCTGGGTCCTGAAAAAGATTCACAAGGTGGCCAAGATTAGCACCAACCTAAGACTTTCTTCACCTCTATGCCATCAGACTGAGGAGGCAGGATGAGGTAGTGACAATCCTTATGTGTTTCACTAACAATTAGTGCCCAGTACAAATGCTAACTAAAATATCTATGTGGCACAACATAAAAAAGCCCCATCGCAATTCTTCGGCATAAGTGGATGACAGTAGGAAGCTGGAAAACCATGCACCCTTGCAAAATTCCAGGTGGATAGTGGGGGCACAAAACTCACCTCTCGGATTTTCCTTATACAGCTGAACTGGAACAGCAAATCCAGACACAATAGACTTCATTCAGTAGGGGCATGTGTAAAAGTAGAACAGCAGAGACACCAGGAGAAAATCATTTATTTTAACACTGTTACAGTGAAAAATTAGGAAGAAGAAAAATTTTCCTAGTAAAGGGGCTTGGGAGGAAGGTGCAAGGGGTGAGGGGATGACAGGGAAGGGTTATCTTGCTCTATCAAACCAGGGTGTCCTTAGTCGAAGGAGCTTCCCGGACTTCATAGAAATGGGAGGTCCTCATCTTCAGTTCCCGAGCCACCTGGCAGATGGAAAAGGGCCAACAGCAGTGCACCACCAGCCAGTCCTCGCACAGTGTGCCCTAGGGTGAGACCCGAGTCTCTGTTCTGTCCTGATCACCAACTCATTTCTAACACCCAGGGACGTGCACAATTAATAAGCCCACCTGCCCATTGCCTCTGAGATCCAGCAATACCCCTATGTCAGGACCCAAGAACACAGCTTCAAGCACGAAGCTGCTCAACTGCTAACCAACATCTGCAGTTCAGACACTTGCCCTTAGGACTTTTGATACATGTTTATGTTTGAAACCACTAATTTCTTTGTCAACACCTCTTTTTTTCCTCTTAGAATCTAATTTTCATAATTATTTTATCTATTTATTTGGACTAAGTAATAAGAAAATGTGGTGTATTAATCATATTTTCTAGCTTCTGTAATATGATGTTTTAACATTCACACTAAGTAACCCTTCTCCACCCATGTCTGCTATACCTTGATAATATGCCTTTAGTTTCCCCTTTGGTCAAGGCCCCAAGCCCCAAGGCATGATTTTATGGCTGTCCAATAAAATTCCCACTTGCTCTGACCTCTCCCTGTCAGGTTTCCTGCAAAAACCACAATAAAGGAGCTTGTCCACAGTAACACTCCATCTCTGCCTGTGACCACCCCGTGTGTTTTCCCCATGTAGCCCTGCCAGGCATGCTGTGAACACCAGTGACAATGAGTATAATAAATCTTTAAATGCTTCCAGCTGTTCTCTCTTGATTCACATTCAAACTTACCATATCTCAAATATTGCTATTATATCAAGTTTTAAAACACATGTTCCAAAATTCCAAAAATGAGAAGGGATATGAGCTTAAAAGTAAATCGTCTTCCCAGAGTCATCCCCAAACATCCAGTTACCTGTCCTGAGGCAAATATTGTTAGCCGTTTCTTACATATTTTTCCAGATAAATTCTATGCCTACACAAAGAGGGGTCACTATGAGTTGGGTCTGACTCGATGGCACATAACAACAACAGCAACACAAATATATGGGAGCTCTGGTAGCGTAGTGTCCAAGGCACTTGACTGCTAACAAGAAGGCTGGCAGTTCAAATCCAGCAGCCACTCCTCGGAAGGTAGGTTGGGCAAACTACTTCCTTAGTGATACTGCCTCAGAAACCCAAGGAGACATTGCTATGAGTCAGGTCCAACTCAACAGCACATAACAACAGCACAAATATATATATATATATATATATTTTTTTTTTTTTCTTCTAATGTATAGTTGCATAATTCTGTGCTTTATTTTTTTCCATTTAAAAATATATCTTACTCTAAAGCATAGATAAGAAGATAACAGGGTAAAGAAAGTAGAGTATGTGCTGGAAATAGAACAACAAGAACACAATTAAAAAGAATGTTGACAAATTGTGAAAAATGTAACTAATGTCACTGTGTAGAAATTGTCAAATGGGAATTTGCTGCGTAAATTTTCACAAATAAATAAATATTTTTAAAATAAATAAAAATGCTAAAAATAAAAATATTATCTTAGGGCTCATTCCCTATCAGTATGTGAAGACGGACCTTTTTATTTAACTGTCCAAATCTTAATCTGCATGATCTGTCTCTCCCTAGTCCCAGTGTACCTCACTCAGAGCTACACTGGAAATAATCTGGATTTTTTGAGGGGTCCCCCAGGCAACCCCTAAATTGAATACTGCATTTGCCACATAAGGTATATTTTAAGTCAGACCATCCTAAGTATATCTTCCAAATATGGTGGAATTCTGTCATCTTCTTTTGATGCAATAGGAGATAGCCAGAAGAGTGGGTTTTATTTCTATAGATGAAAGAGAATGTGTGTTAGCTTAAGGGGTAGGACTAACAAGAGTTATTATTCTTCATTAAACGATGACTCAGGGAGCACAATTTGGACAATGGGCTAAGCAAGACATTGACCAACAATCTGCATCATTGTAAGTCCTCCTGGAAATACCCTTCACAATATGATATGTTAGTTATTTTCTATTTCCTGGTAATGAATTAAGGAGTTCTAGTGGCATAGTGGGGAGCCCTGGTAGCATAGTGCCTAAGGCACTTGACTGCTAACCAGAAGGCTGGCGGTTCAAACCCACCAGCCACTCATCTTTACTTCTGTAAAGATTTACAGCCTTAGAAACCCAATGGGGGTCTGTATGAGTTGGAATCTACTAGATGGCAGTGGTTTGGGGCTTGGGTAATTAAATATATCAGAAATATCTTCCATTTCTTTTCCCAAAGTCTAACACTAAGAAAAGTATGGTATTTTTAAGCTCCCTTCTCACACCTCTTTTTTTGGGGAGGAAATCACTGGTGTTGAAGAAATCCAGGTTCTCATTTATATCCAGGTTCACATATACCTTCAAACACACTTACCCATATTTTATGTCGCTCTCTGGTGCCAATTCTTAGTGCAAAAGAGGACCCAGGTAACAATGGCCAACAAAGACACTCTCCATGATGCCTGGCAATGTCACACTCAAGACACATCGGACAAAACAGACCACAGAAACCTGTCAATAACCAAAAAAAAGTCAAGTTTCTCGGATGTTCTTACAGCAACTTCACAGCACAAAAAGTACTCATATCCCCGTGCCATCAATTTAATGCTACACTGTCTCCCTGCAATCAGAGGCTGTAAGTGAGTAAGCAATTCTCAAAACTCAGTGTATGAAAATTGCCATAACAGAGCTAATCAAAATTGTCTTCTTTTGTCAAACACTGGCAAAGCTGAACCTGATACAATTCTGTTAGCATTCACTATGGTAATTGTTTTATCCTGTCAAGAGAAAAATGTTAAATAATTTTTTACAGTGGAATCATGACTGTTGCTTCTAGTACATTAATCTAATTTTAATATTAAAATTGTTGTTGTTGTTAAGTGCCGTCGAGTCGTTTCCGACTCATAGCGACCCCATGCAAAGCAGAACGAAACACTCCCCGATCCCGCACCAGCCCCACAATCCCTGCTATACTCGAGCCCATCATCGCAGCCACTGTATCAATCCATCTC